AAAACCTATTCTGAAGTGTTATCTTCCACAGTACCTCCATTGTCTCCTACAAAACAAAAACATACAAATTATAATAATGTAAACAAATCTTCCTATAAAAAGACATATTTTGTGAAATCAAATCCACCCAAAAAGGACAGCATAGGGTATGATAAGGTAGCCCATGCTGCATTAACTCAGAACTATGATATCCCTTTAATCCTTTATCTACTTTGTCAATAAAAGATTTAATTATTGTTTTAATTAACTCACTCTGTTAACAAAATAATTATTATGAACCGTCCAACGCTGCTATTTTAAATATGAATAATTTAATTAATAATAATGATACCAATAATGGATCTTCAGTCCACAATCCTTCAGTGGAATTGCCGCAGCATAAGGAATAAAAAGTCAGACTTACTGTATATTATTAACATATACAAACCAATTATTATGGCACTACAAGAAACATGGCTCCAACCCAACACTAACTTTAATATTTCTAATTATTTTTGTTTAAGAGATAGATAGAACTGATAGCTATGGTGGTGTTGCTTTATTAATAAGTGACACTGTTCCTTTCCAGCATATTCCAATTACTAACCATAGTACTGACTTCTCAATAATAGCTGCATCCATTCAAAATAAATGCTTTGTGTCAATATACATTCCTCATCCGTCATCCTCTATTTAAGATGAAGTAGCAGCTATTCTATCGCGATTACCTAAACCTATTTTGATAATGGGTGATTTTAACGCTCAACATTGATCTTGGGGTAGTTCTAACTCAAGCTATTATGGCTCTAGAATTTTAGATATTGTAGATGAAAATAACTTTTGTATTTTAAACTCTGGCGATCCGACTAGACGCACACAGCCTAATGAAGGCATAAGCGCCCCGGATTTATCTATCTCCACCCCTAATTTATCTTCCTTCTTTTCATGGAGCACGCTTTCCTCCACTTTCGGCAGTGACCACTTCCCCATATTAATATCATTCCCTAAAACAGTTTTAAAATCGCGTCCTAAATAGACATGTGTAAGTAATGCGCGTGATATTACATTTATGATATTACGCGAAGTTGTAATGTCATATCACATATCACCCGACAGAAAGAAACATTACACCATCACTTTAAAACATCACGCAGTACACAGAATAAAACAAATAACGATCTTATTCCTTTACTCAAGGGTCTTTTTTAGGTTTGTTCGATAATGACGGCGAAATGTAATGTTATCAAAAATTACGCAGCACTAGCGACACCATCCTTAAGTGTCAAACATCACGCAACACGCTTAAATAAATTACGACTTTATGTTCTTACAACTAAAGGTTTTTTTTAGTTTGTTCTATCGTAATGTAATGTAAACATTACGCAGCGCTAGCGACGCACAGTGGCCTAGCCGGGTAACTTTCAATATGTTCGAATAATATAAATTACTTTTTTAAGAAACACTCCTCAGATTATTCGCCTGTATATTACAAAACTATTATTTCAAGTATTTTTTTTGTTAATATTGACGCATTAAATACCTACTAACGAAATAAATCTATGTTGAATACAGTATTACTAAGTAATACAGTTATACTAAGTCACATATTAATAAAAATCACGGGTAATGTTTCGAGTGATAGTGATATTACAGAGTGATATTACTCAGCGAGTAATGTAATGTAATATTACATCACACCGTTCACCTAGACTAAAACATAGAATTAACAATGACAGTGACAGCTGGGAGAAGTTTAGGGAGCTAGTTGCGCAAAAAGTATCATCTCTTCCCGACGTTCAGCTTAATGATTAAACAATGTGCGCAGATGCGTTTGCGTTGGTTCTAATAGAGGCTGCTGATTCGACCTTTCTGCGTAAACAATCTAATAGAAATATTCCCTCACCGCCTTGGTGGAATTCTGAATGCACAGCAGCAATAAAGCGTAGAAAAGTAGCTGAAAAAAAATATTATAATAACAGTACAAATGACAACTTTGACAAACTGTCGCATATAATAAATGAAACTCGTAAACTACTAAAGAAAAAAAATGGGATGGTTGGAAGGCATTTTGTTCTTCCTTGGCCCCTGATATTTCCGCATCTGCTATTTGGACTAATATCCGAAGATTTAGATCGGCGTTCAGAGAACCAACTCAGAAGTTCATAAATGAGGAAGTGGCTGATAAATTCCTTGATAAATTAGCTCCCCCTTTTGTTTCCCCGGTTAATACACCTTTATTCAAATCTATTAACAACACGATTGATAATTTATCTCATGACCACGGCCTCAACTCTCCTTTTAGCCTAACTGAACTAAAATGTGTTTTGTCCTATGTAAAAGATTCTGCCCCTGGGAGTGATGGAATCCCCTATTCATTCATATCCCACTTAAGTGACGACAGTCTTGTTTACTTATTACAAGTGATCAACTCTATTATGGTTAATAACGAAATTCCTATATCATGGAAAACTCAGGAATTAATTCCTTTATTGAAACATAATAAATCCCCTGCAGATCCAAATTCATATAGACCTATAGCTCTGGCTTCAGTTCTTTCTAAAATAGCAGAACACTTAGTTGAGAACAGATTGGAATAGTTCTTAGAAAGTAAAGCTCCTCTTGCTTCTAGCCAGTATGGCTTTCGAAAAGGTAAAAGCACCATGGATAGCATAGGCATTTTCACCACTGATATCAGATTAGCCTTCTCAAATAATCATTCCCTTCTTGCTGCATTTATTGATATATCTGGTGCTTACGACAATGTGGACATCCAAATCTTAAAAAACAAACTTATAAAACTAGAAGTTCCTTTGTTTTTGATCGATTTCATTATTAACCTTCTTTCAGAAAGATTGATAAAAATAGATATGGGAGATGGCAATTTTAAATCTAGGCTGACATGGAGAGGACTACCTCAAGGTTCGGTTTTGAGTCCTTTACTGTACAATACGTATGATTTGGAGTCTTACATCGCAGGTAGAGCTAACATTTTACAATATGCGGATGACTTAGTTTTTTATGTATCCGGATCATCTATTATTGAATTAAGTCAATCTTTAAGTAATGTGTTAACACTCTTAAAATCATGGTTAGATAATAACTCACTGAGTCTTTCTGTTTCTAAAAGTTGTGCCGTTTTATTTACAAGAATAAGATCACCCCCATCATTTTCTGTACATTATGGTAATGACATAATTCCAGTGTGTAATGAAGCTAAATTTCTAGGAATCATTCTAGATTCCAAATTAACTGGCTTATCACATTGCTATTATGTATCAGCTCGATGTGAAAAATTATTAAACATTTTAAGATGCCTATCTGGTGTTTGGTGGGGAGCTCATCCATCAACACAAAAATTAATATATAATGCTATTATCAGAAGTATCCTTGATTATGGAACTTGCTTTCTGGAGCCCTGTAGTGCATTAGCACTAAGTAAGTTAGATGGCATCCAGTCTAAAGCTCTTCGCATTGTAACTGGCGCCATGAAGTCAAGCCCTATTAATGCACTGCAGATTGAATGTGTGGATCCTCCTTTAAAACTAAGGAGCCAATTTTTATGTGATAAATTTCTATTTAGAGCTCTTCAACTTTCTGACCACCCTCTTTTTAACAAGTTAGACCATTTATTGCGTAAAATTGATAATTCGGCATATTGGAATAACAAGTCGCTTCCTTGCTTGGTAATCAGCTACATTAAATTTACTTCACTGCTAGCACCCACCCACCGATCACAATATCTTCCCATTTTTTCTATTAATTATGAAGCTCTTACCATTTCACCCAAAGTAATTTATTTAGACTCTTTACGTAATGATAAAAATGCTAATATTAATCTAATGAGTATTGTTAATACAGAATGGCCAGACTGGCATTACATTTACTGTGACGCATCTAAACATCCATCTACTGGGATAGTTGGAATCGGTGTTTACCACCAACAGTATAAAATAACACAAAAATTAAATTACCCCCAGAAACCTCAGTATACACAGGAGAATGTTATGGAATCCTTAAATCATTAGAATACATTTTGCTTGCACAACTCAAAAAGACAATTATTTTCTCCGATTCCAAAAGCACTTTACAGGCAATAGAAAATTTTCCTTTTAAAGCTTCTTCTTCTAACGCCTATTTGATCGATTGTAGGAAATTATTACTGAATTGTACTTTGAAGAATCTAAATGTGCTCTTTGCGTGGATACCTGGCCATCATAACATCACAGGCAATGAAGTAGCTGATAAACTCGCTAAAGATTCAGTGAATAGGCTAGTTGACTCATGGCGAATTGTATTAAATAAATGTTTATTTCTTAAAGTATTTGGTCTAGGGAACCTAAATATATCGATTTCACTTCATAAAAGCAGAAGATTGCTGTAGAAATTTAATTTGAAAAAATAATTTTTAGTCTATACTTTTTAAACACTAAAACCTGTTCACCATATCCGCCATGATTGTGACGTCTCTTTTAGTAAACAACTAAATGTCATTCATACATAACTTTAAAACTTGTATTATTACAACTGATAATAAGTAAATGAAGAGACTTAAAATATTATTCAATGAATACTTACATCAAAGTGATCTTCGCAAAAATAAATTTTACTATGAGTCGATAAAGTTGCAGGATCACTTTTAGCAAGTTCTAACCAGGTATTGCGTAGGTTAATTTCTTTCGGCACTTTAATCCACAACTTTCCTGGAGTCTTCAAGGTTTTTTTTTACATTCTCGTACAATACAATAATGATAATTATTATATTTTTCGTGGTATCTATTAGAAATCATGTTTTTTTTATTATAAACTCAGGTTATTTTCTACGTGCTTACGAGTTTTTGTTTACTACCGTCGACGTCATAGCATAGATAATCTATAGACTAAAATGGCCGACAGCGTTTTTGTATGTCCATGAAAAGTCTATTTTAAAATTGAAGATTTGTAGCTTTCTAGGTCTCAAAAAAATACAATACATTTTTTTTCGGTCTAATAGAACAGTTATGAACCATTTAAAACCTTTTTCCAAAAAAGGTCAACTAGCCTATTGTGGTGACGTCTTTCCCTATAAAAATTTAGTCAATGATCTTGTTTTACTTCCTAAAGTACATCTACGCATATCTTGGGAAGAGTCGTAGTCGCATCAAAGGTAAACATTATAAATTAATTCAACAATGTATTCCCGATAAACCATGGTTTTCTAAAATTCATTTAAGTAAGTTTGCCACATCAAGTCTCATAAGAATGCGCCTAGGTCATAACTGTTCTTCTTCCCACCTGGCTAAACTGGGCATAGTAAATAATAATATTTGTGCTTGTGGTACTGGAGCAGAAGACTTAAATCACATCTTCTTCGAGTGTCCCCTCAATGATTCCGCCTCTTTTATGGATTCATTAATATCCCTTAATGTACCTCTCCCTACTTCTATTCCTTCCTTATTGTATTATAAAAATTATAATATATCTAACAAGCTATCTGAATTCCTAACTAAACATAATATAAAATTATAAATACCTAATTTATAACAAATAATGTAATGTATTTTATATACTTAAATAGACCTATTACTTACTTACGTTTCAAATTTTACGTACCTACCTGATCCTAATCCTTCCTTCCAAATTCCGTTTCACAACCATTTTATTTCATTATTTTGGTTTCCTTACCTTTTACCCTGTCGTGGCCAATGTACAAACCGTGCGAGCCATTATAATAAAAAAAAAATAGCGAAACTACTATTTTTATTAGTACCATTAATTACTTTATTATTCAAGACGCTACAAAATGTCCGAGGTTGCCGTGAAAAATATTGACAACGCTTGTGAAACGGCTGAAGAATTTACTAGAGTATTTTATAAACAAGTAGACAACAGTCGACATTTAACCTCCAAATTGTATTTAGATACCGGATTATTGGTGTGGAATGGAAATGGGATAAACGGGAATGATAAAATTCAAAAATTCCTCATGGATTTACCTGCAAGCACCCACGTTTTAAAAACTTTGGATGCTCAACCAATATCAGAGAACCTTGTTTCGAATAAACTCACTTACCTCATCCAAGCTTGTGGAGATGTCACTTACCAAAATGATGACATCAAAAAACCCTTTCAACAAACTTTTCTAATAGTAGCTGTCGATGGAAAATGGAAGATAGCATCAGATTGCTTCAGGCTTCAAGTGCCCTATAGTTAATATAAACAGATTTACTTCTTTGATAAACTGTTACAAATGTGTAAAACATTAAGAAATTGTTATTATTGTCTAGTAAAGTGTGTATTGAGTTAAATATGTATGATTATTTAGTATGATGATTGGATACTAAAAATATTTCTGTAAAATACTGTTGATGACAAATTACCACCTGTATTAATTTAATCTTTTTTTTGTAGTTTTCTGGCATATTAGTCAGGCAATATCTGTGCGTCTAAAATTAATAATATGATTTGGTTTTATCAGATTACACAATATTATTTAATTCATATTTTTGTATGCTCTCCTAGAAAACTATTACAATTGGGACAGTAATGTTTAGATTTCTTCAAGACTGGTATAATGTAAGGTATGGCACCAAGGCAGCACAGCATACACCAACTGCAATAGTGCAACAAATTAATTTTGTTATTGTATCTTATTTGAATATTAAGCTACAAAAAATTGCTTACCATATCATCCCACATATAAATCCAGCCATCATGTGTTTTTTGCGAGTTAACTTTTTCAACTCTAGTTAGTTTATTATTCTTTCTCCATAAGTGTTGCAGTTGTAAAATGAAGCATTGTCTTGAAGTGGTGCTTGTACTATAATTAGTTGATCAACAACAGCTATTGTGACTGTATGGGGTAAATCTAGAACTGTGTGAGGAGGTGGAGGCTCTTTGTTTCCTATTGTTTCTGTTTGTATGGATATATTAGCCACAGTTAAAGTATGAACTAGATTAACACTTGAGTATCATTATTAATGGTAAATTTCTCCATCCACTGCTAAATGATTATTGATAACATACCTACTTCATTTGAATGGTAACCTGGTTTTTATCTTGTATCTGAAAGTTTGTTGTGTATTCTTATCTACAGATAACTGTGCCGATGATATTTACATGTACAATTGTGAATGATAATATGATATGGACTTGTATGTAAAAGTTTGAGATAAAAATATACTGAAGAGGCAAATGTAACTAATAAGTATTCATAATTTTAAAAAATCACACCTCATTAAAAGTTCTATAAAATTAAAGAAACATTCCTTTAATATTTTTTTAATTAAACTTAGCACATTATAGAACTAGACAAAGTAGAACTGTATGGCCACAAATTTTTAATAACAAAGCAAAGTAGAACTGCTCTGAAGAAATACTATTGACTTGAAATTTGTAGTTATCAGCAAACATCTTGCGTAAAACCATAGATAAATATATACAGTAGACATATATGTTCCTTTAATGTAAAATTGCTACTGTGCTATCTATGGTTTATGGACATCATGTTTGTCTGGTTGTATAGCTACCAGTATTTTAATAAACAAAGATCAAGTTGGACTTGCACATTGAGGGTTCCATACTAACTTTTAAGTTAGTTAAGCAAATAAAAATAAGATTATTATGTATTTGCATTTGGTATACTAATGGGCTACTTTTGATTACATTTTCCCAAAATATCTCATGATCTAGGTCAACTGGAAACTTCATCTTCCCTTGAGGGGCAAGAATCCAGCCAAAACTTATATCTTTCGATTACATTCAATAAGGAGTTTGATTAATTCACAGCTCACTTTTGAATATTAAGGTATGGAACCCCAATTAAGAAACTTATCTAATTTAAATAAAAAAAAAATTTAGACCTTATTGTCACAATCATAGACTACTTTCACATATTTTTAATTTGCATTACATTAAAGTATAATTAAGGCAATTGTTGTGTTTTTAATTGATCATAAACAAACTTTACTGGTGTTACATTTACATGTTGAGAAATTCTTCTGATATTTCTTGGTTTCCTCACACAAATCTTTTAATAAGACAAATTTTGAACAGGGATAAAGCATTTTTATTACTTTTAATAATATTCTTGACGTTTCTGACCCTTGACAGGTTCTGTGGTTGCAAATGCTTGTTCTAAAATTGTATTATTAAATTCTTCTAATATTCAGTCTAACAAATATCAGTCACTTATTTTTTTGTTACAATAACAGGTAAATTCCCAGATATATAAAGCTAATTCTAGCTAGCATGCACCACTTTTATGGAATGTGTTTCCCTATGATTTGCAAATACTATAATATTAGCTTATTTGAAGACAATAGTGGGTCGGCAACCTGACCACTATCTTTTACTTAAATAACAATTAAGATCTGGCCAATGCAAAATGTGGAGTATGCTCCACATTTTGCCCAAAATACCATATTTTGGCTTTTTTATGATGGAGCATATTTGATGATCTGCCAGCCCATAAGTCTTAGCACATGGCATTGCATTTTACCTTAAGTATCAATACAACATTACAATTTCATAATCCTTCTAAATAAATATGTATTAAGTTGATAACACAAAGAGGTATACATAAATACTGATTATGAAAAAACAGTGAATAAAATAAATAGTAAAAAAAGATGCACAATTAATATCATATCACAAAAATTCTTACAAATCTTGCTAGAAGTTGAACAGACAAAACTTAAGTAGATTTCATAAAAACCCCAAAGAAAACATATTAATTATTTTTTAACCTTTTGGATAATTTGTAAGCATTTCACTTCCATATTTTTGACATGGCAACTTAGACATAAGATTGATATTTTATATACTTTTTTTATTTTTAAGCACTTATCCAGGCTGATAGCAGAAGGTGCATGTTCAAATCCTGTCTGATGTCTGGACCGAGTGTTTTTTTTTCTACTAAAATTTTCTTTACATTTTAGATATTTTAATCTATTTAGACAATTGACATGACTTTACATGACAATTGTACACAATAAACTTGTAAGAATGTACCTAGTCCAAAAGGTTAAATAATTTATTCATTAGACTGGTCCAATGTGTACCTGTATACAAAAGTAACTGTCACTGGACATTTACTAACACTTGTTACTTTTTCCAATAAAAGTATTGCAGTTGGGACAGTAGTGTTCAGCATCTTTGAATGTGTCAAAGCAGTATGGCACCAGCCCCAGGCAGCACAGTGAACAGAACCTGTGCAAAGACATGATTACATTAGAGACTGTTTATTCTCTACAAATGACAATAATTTATTCAAGTTTTAATAAAGTCATAACTTACATAGTGATAACACAGACAGAGCCAGCCACTAGATGGGTATGCCAAGCTGTTGTATAAGTAACTCTAGTGGTAACAACTTTTCCACAGTTAAAGCATGTTATCGTTGTAGGTTCAGTGCCCACTGCAGGCCCTGGCATTACGACTCCTATGGGCAGACCTGGCGGTGGGGGAGGTACACTGCCCATATGAGGTTGCGTAGTTGCTACTACAGCCGGTGGATGCGGGTATACTCCAGGAGCAGTAAACTGTTTAGGTGGTTGTGGATGTGGGTAGCCTCCGGCGGGGTTGGCCTCTCCAGGGACAACAAAACCAAATGGTTGGTTTCCAACCACTGCTGAATACGGTGGCGGCAAATCTTCAGGTGCAGAAGCACTGGGAACTTGATTGGTAGCCATTTTCGTACCAAAACAATAATTGGACAAGAACGCACTATCACAATAGCTTTTTTTTAAGGAATTTATATATATCAATTATAATAGTGGAACTAGGGAATTCAATACTCGAAGAGACAACACTAGAATTTATTTTATTGACGCAGTGGGTAATAAATACAAAGTGGAAAACACTAAATTATATTAGAATTCTTTTAAACATGACATCAGGTGATTACGTCGAGATTGGTATGGAGCACAGACTACAATAGACTTACAAAAGCTTTCTATTATTTTCGAAAATCAACCTTATGATGTGTCATTTAAAGTTAATTTTAGATTCAGATGCAAAGAGGACAAAGGCCAAACAAACAAATAATTTTTTTTTTAGTTCTATTTTTTTTTTGGTTACGTTCTCCCTTTTCAGAGAAGGTAAGGGGAACAATGCCCATACTGCCTAATTATTCTGTTTTTCTTTTTACATTAGAATGTCGGTGTGACGCATTCTAATGTTTCTTGGAGTGTTCGACATAAAATGTATCGAGTCAGGTTTCTCGAAAAGCTTCTGTGAGGTAGTAAACACTATCATTTATTTTTAACGTTTTCAGCAAATTCAAACATTTCATCATTTTTATATTAACAAACGAGTAAGTAAGCTAAGGAAACTACATTTTATAAGAGTCCAGATATGAAAAATGTGCTAATGTGCCTCCCTCTCCCCTATACTAGTCTACATTATTTAACACCGAATTGTGGGATTCTGAAAATGATTGAAAACCTGTAAAATAAAAAAAAAATAAAAAATACGTGTGGCACTCGGGGACTGCCGCGATAAAACTATTGCATAGCAAATTTATCAACTTATGCAATTATAATTATTTATTTATGCAGTTTTTTTTTTCTTTGATATTAATTCATGTTACACTTTTTGAGCGTGGTGACCGATAACAAAACATTTTTTTTTATTTTATTGAATAAATGAAAAGTTAATATTGTTTAAAATATTTTTATAATCTTACATGCGAGCTTCGTACAGTCGTACCATATACATGCACGTTAAGGTTCAACTAGTCGCGGGCTCGAACTAACTCGTGGATGCGGCCAAAAAGCACGCTGTCTCACCTAGCATTATGTCTAAAAGAGATAGAATCAGTTATGAGCAGTTAGCAGCTAGTCTAAACGCATACGTCTAGTCGCACCCACACAAACACCATGCCGAAGTCTGCCGAAATGAAGCGACGTTAGACGATGCACGGCTTTCAACGCCGCACCTCTGTGCCGGTCGCAGTGCCCCCAACACACCGGTGTTAAAAGAAAGAAAGAAAGAAAATATTTTTTGTAAACCCTTAAAAAATACAACATGTTAAAAGGAACTCATACAGTAAGGGCCAACCAGGACCCTGCCTCAGCGCTAGGTGATACGACATTGTGTCGCGCCAGCGCTGATATTCTGGCAGGGCCTGCTTGAAGTTATATAAGCTGGCGGTTAGCGCGCGAGGCGCTCGTTGATGTAGACCCGAGCGCCGCCCCCCACGGCGGTGGCCAGCGGGCCGCCCTCATCAGCGGTGACCGGGGCGCCGTCCTCCGTATCCGTGACCCTGCGGCGCACACGCGCGACCGTCAAGAGGTCGTCGCGCAGCTGGCGGCACGCTAGGCGCACCACCACTCGGCGTGGCCGGCCCCGCGCCCCGGCGGGCAGCGCGCCCACACGGTCCGCGAACTCCAAGTTCCGCCTGTCGAGAGTCACTCCCAGCCGCACGGCCAGCATGGTGACGCTCTGCTCCACGCTGTCGCCTTTCACTTCGGGCAACCCGCCGATCTCCAGGTCGGACATCAACGCCTCCTGATCGCGGTCGTTAACCTCGTGCACAAGTCCATCCTACCAGTTGAATCAGGATCCACTTGACGCTGCTCCAACACCGCAACTTTCTACTCGAAGGAGTCTAGTCGAGCGGTAAAAGAACTGCGGAAGGCCGCCATCTTTGAGCGGAATTCCCTCGTCTCCGTCATGCAATCGGCCAGCATACTTTTTATATCACTGCTGCACTGTTGTGATTATTTCTGACGGCGTTCTCCTTGGCCTTACCCTGGACCTCATTTTCGTTTGGAGAGCCACTGGCCAGGTCGACAGGTTCCCGTACAGCAACCGGTTTTTCGGGCTCGGAAGATTCGCTGATACCATTTACAGGCGTATGCGTGTTGTCACCCCTGCGTGTGCTTATCTTGTAGTTCGGGCATATCCAGTCCTTGCTGACACTCGACTTTTCCGGGATTTATTCCAAGCCTTATTATATTTTATTGGGCAAGCACAGCAAACAACAGCATTGCCCGGCGCCAAAAAACTTCTACAATGTGTTGTAGTGGATGTTGATCTGTGGATTACTATATATGTAGCAAGCTATTCTACAAGCTCCACAGTTTACCATCTTTAGTCCAAAGTCTAAATAAAAGGGAGACAAATAAAAATAAGAACAGGTGTTGGGGTCTAAAACAAATATATAAAACAGGAAAAAAAATATAATAAAAAATGGGTGCGTGTACTTATGTAGGCGCGTGAGAAGTTATCCTTCTTTGGCATCGTTTAAAATTAGTTTTTAATTGCATGCAAATAATTAATTACAATAAATTAATAAAAAGTCTGGAAAAGGACACAGTTAATAAAGTTCAGTTTTAATTTGAAAAAATAAATAAATAATCAAAATATTCAATTAAAATCGCTACTGAATATAATTTATTAGAACATTATGTGATTTGCACTTGTATGAAACTCAAACACGTATTCCGAATATACAAACTAGAAACATGTGGATAAATATTATAAATATGAATACCTTTAACTGTTACTTTATTACAAAAAATAAAGATGTGGTTTTTGGTTTTACTACACCAATGGTCAAGAGATGGCGCTGTAGTCTCCTGAATCGCGCTTTGGTTCCGTTGTTCCAGATTAATAAATACTTTTGATATTATAAATATGAAAACCTATAACTGTTACTTTATTACAAAAAATAAAGATGTAGTTTTTGGTTCTACTACACCAATGGTCAAGAGATGGCGCTGTAGTCTCCTGAATCGCGCTTTGGTTCCGTTGTTCCAGATTAATAAATACTTTTGATAGGCCTTCATAATGCAGTCGTTAGCACCCACAAAATAGAGATTCTATTTCTATTTTGTTGGTAGATTTTCTTTATGAAGTTGGTCGCTTTAGCGACCAACTTCATGCTGTTAATATTTTGTGTTACAGTGATGCGCGCGCATCTTAAAATTTCACTCTCATCATTTTTTCATAACGCGCCTAAAGAAGTATAACTTCAAAAATAAAAAATACGAGTGCAGGATTTGAACCGACGACCGCGGTGATGCGTCAAACGTTAGTCCCGTGGCAAAAACTTAACACACTGCGCCGTTTAAATTGATGTGAAAATGGCGAAAATTGTGTTCTATTATATATAGCTTAAAAAGTACACATTTGAAGACTATTGTATTATTTATCGGTATTTTTAATTATTTTGATATTGACAATTGGAACAGACATTACAAACGATAAACACACTAATATTATACTATGTGCTCCAACCTATAAAGGAGATTGCTCAAATTGGCCTAAATGCACAAAAAATATTGACATACACGGTAATTCTTGGCGTAATTTATAATTTAATTTACAGTCATTAGATTTCAACGGACACCTTTTTATAAAATATTTACTTTAAAAAGGACTTTTAATATTACCGGTTTGGAAAACATGAGAATCATTTTTAATGGCTATGGGTATAGTAACATTCAGCCAAAGACTGATCGCAGTTGTTTATATAACATAAAAACAATTCTATTTTGTAAAGATCAATAAAATAAAACAGTTTTTTTATTACACTGTAGTATTAATATCCACCACTATATTATCATTTTCACTAGATGCAAATGTGCTCAGACAATTATTATAGATGGTAGGCGACATCATAAAGTCTATTGCCATACATTTTTCGCCAAACACCTCCTTATACATATTATAATCTGTATATACGTTAGACTTTAAGGTATGGGCCTACGTTCCCTGACTATAAATTAATAAATAAATAAAATTATAAGGTGTGACACACTAAAAATCTAAAATATGGTTATCTTAAAAACAACAAAAATAATGAAGCTACTGAATATACGGTTATAGAACCTAAATATCTTAGCTTTTTTTGGTTAACTAGAGTTTAAAAATTCTCTCTAATCTGCGGCTCATTCACAATCATCACACAGTTTCTATCACAGAGTATTTATTATAACCGGAAATGACACGTGATTTTAAAAGTTACTCTTATGCATTAACTTTAAAAACAGGCAACTATCTGTTATTCTACATGCTCTATATACCTGAATCTAATCTATAATTTCGGTACTTGGCTTGATTTCCCTAGTTTACTATATAACTTATTTGTTTTTTATTATTTTAATATATTCAGTTTTGACATATTCTCGCCTAACTAACTACGCTTATTTAAATTAGACTATTAAAATTATCTTACGATTGTGATATGTTTTCAAGGCGCAATGGTAAATTAAATAATATATATAGGTAGGTATGAAAAATATATTTGACAATCTTAAAAGTTTAATTCTTGACATTGAAATTTTCAGTAGCAAAGATGTAATTTGTGAGAGCGAGACCAAACAAACGCAATCGGTTACAAATGACTCAGATTTTTTTCTCTCCTCAAAAGTTGAGAAAAAGGTAAATAAAAACAGTAAAATACCTTTAAATATTAATTACATCAAAATATAGCTGGATTAATAAGCAAGTCTGATTAACATGTTGTCTGTTTAGAGGAACTCTCTGATAAGAATATAAATATTGACGTGGTATATGTAACGGAGCACTTTATTATGATTGGCTGTTAGAACTTCCTATCCGTCCCCAATTTCCACTTAGCTTCCCACTTCAGTAGAGATAACTCTAAGTAAGGTGGAGTTTGTCTTTTAGTTAAAAAATGCCATCGATGGAAGCCATAACCGAAGGTAGCAGAGCTTTCATTGCCGGGCATATTCGAATGCTGTGAGGTGGAATTGCTACATTATAGGATTGTAATAGTATGCATTTATAGGGTTCCTGAAACAGCCTATATGAACATACTTTTCTCTAAGAAGGATCAATTATTATACCTTCTCAGCAGCAGTATATAAATGTAATATATAAATATTTGTAATACTCACCAATTAGCCTAGCCCCAAAGTAAGCACTGTAATGCTTGTGTTATGGGGTACTACGGTAACGGATAGAATACATATACAGTACACATATAAGTATATTTACATAGAAATACATATTACACATCCATGACTGGAGTACAAATGCTCGTATTCATCACACAAACATCTCACCATCATCATCATCCCCACCGGGATTCGAACCCTCTTGAGTCGGTGACACCATGAAACCCGGCGTACAGACCACTCCGCCACGGAGGTCGTCAAGTTCACGAATGTTGAATAATCTTATAATAGCAGGTGATTTTAATATTGACGTATTAAAAAAAACAATATTACTTTAGAGTTTGAATGTCTTCTTCTGAATTATATTAGCATTGGAAGAGCCAACCCCATTGATGAGTCAAACATGTATTGATCATTTTGCCCATAACTTTCTTAAATCGTACACCGGACGGGGGTAATAAAGTTAGCTTTATCCGATCATACCGCTCAACTATTGACCTGTTCAGTGAAGAATGTACCTGCATTGATGTTTTAGCGAAAAAACTGTAGAGATTTTAGTACCGAAAATGTTACAAAATTTAGGGATTGCTTAATGAAGTTGTCGTCCTCAGAAGTATACGACACAGATGATCCAAACACTGCATTTTCCTCATTCTTGAGTTATTCTAGAGAATTTATGGCTTGATGATGAAAGGCCAGATATACACGCAGTGGTACACTACAGAGAAAATGGTGAAAGAGTTTCTGCATGTAGAGAATGGTACACAAAATACAAATTCGACAGAAGGTACCATAATAAGAAATGCAGATGGCAATTTAGATCAGTCTCGACGCTTCCTTTTGCCTAAGCTAGAATTACTGAAGTTTGATGGTGGTGTCAAGTCGTGGATCAGATTCTGGTCACAATTTCGCAAGATTGATGACAATGACGACAAATTCCAGTATTAACTACAGTCCATGGAATAAAGTTCAGTGAGCTGAGAACACGCCACCAAGTACTTAAATAGACTTTATTCTCTTTTTTAGTAAAATAAATATTAATATTTCTAAAATCTGTTCATTTAGCCAAATTACAACTTAGTTGCTAGAAAAAAATCTTATTACAAAATATCCTTTTTACACTGGCATTCTTAGCTTGGACATAAAAAAATGCCTTTGGGATATTCACACCTACGTGTGAAGTTTTGGTAAAAAAATATGGGACAGTCCATTTTGTACAGACAGGACGCTGTACGAGTCCGAACTCGGTGAGAGACCCCATGAGATGTCATTCGTTTGCGCAATAATACATAGCTTAACAGTCATCAATGAGCTTCTAAAGTAAACATGAGCGACGCACTACAATAACAGCTACAATTCAAAATCCTATTGATATTATTCTTAGATTGTATATTTGTTTGTTTCTCGTTTGATACCCACTCTCGTTGTGAAATTACGTTAAAATATAAAAAAAACGGTAGCTTAATCGTCGCATTACGGTACTTTTCTGCCTGGAAAGTATTAGATACCGACAACCAGTTTACTTACATGAAGTTACCACAAAGAGATTTAAATAATACAGTTAGTTTCATGGCTTTGCGTGAGCATATGAAAAAAAAACTAATATGTACTTAGATATGTGTCGTTTCTTTTTGGACTTATTTTAATTAAACTTAACGCGGAAGAAGTTTTGTGGGTTTTATTTAATAAAATGGATGATGTTGATTTTTTTTATTAATAGCAATAATGGCGATAATATGCTTGAGTATACAAAAACCTAGATTTGAGAAATATTTAATTCTCAAAAGCAAGGAAAGGAAGATCGGTTTCTTTATTAAATTTCGCTCGAATTGTTGAATAATCGTCTGGTTTGGTGTGGTGGGCTGTATTGGGTAACATAACGAGCACTCAGAGCGGTCGACGTTAGCTCGGTAGTCGAATCGATACTGTGCTAAAGAGACCGCGCGCGTCTGTCACACCACGACCGATTTTCAAGTTTTGTTACTATTGAAATAAATTTCGGTGACGGAACTGTAACGTGTTTCGGCTGAAAGTTTTTAATATTTGAAGACCACAGGAACGTCGAAGGAGAACGCCCGACGAGCAGGCAGCCGGCACAATTTCGAAAAGTAGGTGATGTTTACTAATGAAATTATGTAACGAATTTTGCACTACATCGAATCTAATAAATTGATAAGTAAACAATGTTTACTTTATTATTTGCAGCATTAAACTGTTAGAGTCATAAATTTAAAGAAAATTTTAGTAGAAAAAAAATCCGCCCTGCTTGCGGAAGGTTCAAATCCCGCGTGAACCGCGTGAAATTTTCTGTAATACAATTTTCTTTAAAATCTTATTTATTATATTAATCAATTCACATTCAACGCAGTAGAAAAGGACATTATTTTGAAAACTGTGATGTATTTAGATACAACACATATTATATAATTAAAATAGTAAAGACGGAAGGTCTACAATAACAGGATATTCCCAGAACACTATTCTTCGTATGTTATTACATATATGTATTATGTTTTGTATGTATAATTGTTTTGCATATTATGTTATTAGTATAATTATTCAATTTTATTTTATTTTTATATTTTGCTGGCACATTACTTCTTTACTGCTGTTAAACTATCCTTTAACTTTTGTCTGGAAGAGATTACTTTTGAAGATGAGATCGCCCTTACCCACCATAGTTTACTATATGTTTTTGTAAGTCCTTTAATTGTGTATCTGTGAGTAATAAAGAGTTCATCAATCTTGTGGATATCGTTCAGCATTTACTAAGTGAAGTTTCCCGAGCTTAAACATGTTATATTAAATTATGAATATATTACGTACCCAATAATTAATAATGAACCCTAGTGCCAAAGTAACCGATGACCCATCTATCAGAGGACTGCATGAACTGGTATAAACCATATCTAGACAGTTGAAATTTTCAAGAAATACCTATAATAAAATGAAATTATATCTAACACAACTTTTATAACGTTATTACGCACATGAATTCAACATCTTTAATTAAGTAGGTACAATGTCATAAAAATATTCTTAATTTCAAATAAGTATGTATTTATGGTTGCCACTATTACAACCAATACTATAAAAATATTTGTCATCTCTTAGATGTCGCCGTAAATAGATTATTTGATTATTATTAATAGATTAATAACTCATCCACATTTGCATTTCATCGTTTACTTTTGCACGTTAAATTGACCTCTAAGTATCTGCCTGTTGTATCTCGGAAATATATATACTTATCTGTGCTCCCTTCGCTACGGTTACGTGTTACGTCACATGGCGTCTACGATCTTGCAAAATGTACGTATACCTATCTATTACGGAAGCACTAGCGGGGAGAGTAGGTAGCACGGAAGTATCTAGAATATAGAGAGATTTCTGATACTGACATCGTTCTATATTATATGGTCGATCCTTCTGGAGATATTATAAGAGGAATGTTTATAGATAACGACAGAACAATACTTTTATCACCTTGTACTGGACTGGAAGTCGTACACCCATAAATAAACATAGGTATATATAGATGAAAGGGAGGAGCTCGATGGCGCAAGTGGTTAGCGCGTTCGGCTGCGATCGTTTAAGTTAAGCAACTTTCGCAGTGGTCGGTCATTGGAGGGGTGACCAAAAATTTACTTTTATTTACTTTAAATGTGTACTGATTTTTTTAGTTCTTGTTACGTACTTTGTGGAGCTGCTGTTTAAGTTTCCATACAAAATTTGACATTGACATTTAGCTCTCGCAAACTACTCGAATTCGATAATGGTCCTTGCTAGGGGTACTGTACCCTTAGCACGAACCATTATCGAATTCGAATAGTTTGCAAACCGAAATGTCAATGTCAAATTTTGTATGGAAACTTGCACAGCAGCGGCACAAAGTACGTAAGGAGAACTAAAAATCAGTACACATTTTACAATGACATTTCGGACTCGCTAACGATACGAATTCAATATTGGTTCGTGCTAGGGGTACTGGACTGCTTTGTTTTCGGGCTACTACGATAAAAAAACGCCAATAAAATAAACACAATTTAAAACTAAAGGTATATTTTAATAAAGTATTTCGGAAAACCGTATTTTGTATTTAGTATTTTAAATATTAAATGAAAAAATATTTTGTATTTGAAATAAATAAAATATAAAAATAACTTCATGTATTTAAATACTTTTTATAATGTATTTCGCACATCTCTGATGATTTGTGCGGTGTGGTTTCAACATAGATAGGAGGATTGTAGGTTTGCTGTCGTTTCGGACTTGGATGGCATTATCGGATCATGTAACACCACGACTCGCCCGTTCTAGGCCTTTGATTTGATTTATGTAACGAATAAAACAGACGTATTCTCTTCCAGGTAATTTAGATAAGGTTCCTGCAGTGCCTGCACCTAGCTATATAGACGCGTTATATCACATCTAACTATAAAAAATTATTACTTACATCATTGTACGTCTTTCATTAAAAGTTACTTTGATACATATAATGTTACAGTATCAAAAAACCGGCCAAGTGCGAGTCGGACTCGCGTACCGAGGGTTCCGTACAAACTCAATTTAATACCTCTACGCTCAGTTTTTTAATGAAGTAACTTTAAAATTTTCAAATATAATTTTTATAATAAATTAAAAATTTACGGTTTTCGCAATGTTTCCTTTATCTATACTATAAGACGTTACTTCGTAAAAAAATTCAATATTATAAGTTCACGGGAAGTACCCTGTAGGTTTTGATTCCCGTGCAAGTTTCGAAAATTTGCGGAAACTTGCGGCATAGACGATTTTGATTGCTTTGACTTAGAAGTTTGATTTTTTCACAGCTCCAAGGGACAGTAGACATGAGTATTAGATATGAATTTCAGTTTGATATCTCCATGCACTGCGCCATTGACAGACGGATGGACGGACGGACGGATGGACGGACAACAAAGTGGTCCTATAAGGGTTCCGTTTTTTCCTTTTGAGGTACGGAACTTTAAAAAATACTGTATTTTCGAAAAATTACGATAAAAACTAAAGAAGTTGGAGTCGGTGCCCAACCATTTACTAAGCCACAGTTCAGCTCTATACATTTAACCGATCTAATAATTAAGGATAATATTCACTCATAAGCAATGAAAATTATTAATTTAATTTTCATATTAAACATATTACTAAATTTTACATCAGCCATCAATAAAGTAGTCTGAAAACAACACAGTAAGGAACTCGATGGCGCAAGTGGTTAGCGCGTTTGGCTGCTACCGTTAAAGTTAAGCTACTTTCACAGTGATCGGTCATTGGATGGGTGACCAAAAAATTACTATCTCGGACTCCTCCGTGCTTCGGAGATGTTCTAGAACTAAGTTGATGATAATTAGCCCTTATAGCTCTTTTTTGCAAGATAAATATAGTTTATATATCGGCTGCTGTTCCCCAGAGAATAATACCATAGGATACACTACTCTGAAAGTAACTAAATATACAGTTCTTGCAGTAGCTACATCAGTAAGTTGTCTTATTTTACGTATGGCATAGGGTGCTGAACTAAGTTTACAAGCTAGCAGAGAAATATTAGGATACCATTGCAATTTTGAGTCTATGGTTATACCTAAGAATATCGTTGATTCAACTAAATCTGGGTTTTCATTGTTTTAATTTAATTCTAACGGTTTCGTTTCTAGCATTAGGTAAAGTGATTTGAATACATTTAGTTTTATTTGCATTTAATTTTAAGTTATTTACATTAACCAGTGCAATACTTGTGTGAGAGCAATATTTACATCGTCAAAGTTATTCTTGTATCGGTCAACTTTAATAAAGAGGTATCATCAGCAAGCAATACGATCTCACACAAATTTTCCCACAAAAAATGGCAAATCATTTATGAACAATAAAATAGAAACGGACCTAAAACCGATCCCTGGGGAACGCTTATTTTCACATAAGATCCATATCACTTAACACCATTTACTGAGATACGATAGTAACAATATGACCCACCATATACTATATCCATCTGTAGTTTATCTCTATGATAAAGTAATATAAATAAACATTTATTTGATTTCAGGTACTTATAATATTTTTAACGATGCACGTTAGTCAATTTGTAATGCATAGAAAAGACATCAACGCGTGACTAAAATGTTGGTAAAGCAACACGGAATAAAGACTACGAATTTGAAACAAATTTCAAATTACACCGCGGATTCAGCGGTGAAAAGTGAGTTTTTTCTAACAGAATAACACCGCTAATGTGGCAGACTGTGTTAATCGAGAGAGGTAGACCAGACCGGATTGTTTTCTGTTCTAATTGAAGCGTCCGTCTTGAGAAGAAACCATATAAAAGATTACAGTGAAATCACACACTACCTTCTTTTTGGTGGTGTCATGTTTCGTAAGCGTAGGCTATGGCGGCAGCTTCCCATCAGGTGGGTCATATGCTTCTTCGCCACCCTTATCTAATTACAGAAAAAGAAAGTCTTGAGGCGTGAGTTCATCCTAGATTAAGGTCGTTTTTTTATCAAACAGTAGAAGAAGAAATTCATGCATTTTGTTTCCACTCTTTACTACTAATATCCGGTGGATTTACCTAATTAAAAACCTTTTATAAACATTTTTATACTTATTATGAACTACATATATATTAATGTTAAAATGTTTTTCTTTTATTGCGTTGTATGTGGCAATTACATAAATTGCAACGAAAGACATTAACGAGACTTAATGTGCATTACAAAATTATTTAGATTAAACATAAAAAAGCTCTTGGCCTGAGAATTAAAAGGATGCACAACGAAGCAGTACAGTGCGCGCAAGATCTTCAATGCTATTCTGTAAAATTTTCAAGCGCAGATCCGATGTGGATCCGCGCGAAACTGTATGGGAAACGCACGGATCCGATTCGGATCCGCGTGCGAATATTTTACAGAATAGCACTACCAGAGGCGGCCTTACCGATTGCGAGGCTCCGGGCGGCAGGTCTTTGCGAGGCCCTTTGTCCTTCGTGAAAAGTATGTGATGCGAATGTAGGTCTGGTTGTTTGGTTTAGGTATTTGTCATGTTTAAGGAAAAATGCTTAAATTATACAAATAAATCAAATTTGAATTTTAAAATATTTTACATTGAAAGATTCACAAAATTAACAAATACAGAGATGATAAATTTTAAAATTGAGGTATGCGGCTTTTCCTAAGACTAAAATCTTTAATTAAAGCACAATAATCTAACGAATAAGCTACGTCATTTTCGATTGAAAGAATAGCGAGAGCCGATCTTGTGTCATTGAAAAAATAGTATTATTTTTTTATATTTTTAAAATACGCTTGGGTTGTTGCGCGAGTAGGGTTGCCAGGCCATAAAATGCAAAGGCCGGACTGCGCACTACATAAGGCCTGATATTTTGCCCTAAAAGCCGGACATATTTTTTTTATTGCCAAACATAATGTTTTTACAGCGGGGCTGTTGAAAAAAGTATTTATACGTGATGTAAAGTGAGAATGAGATTGAAAATTGAAGCGCCAGCAGTTTGCTCTCTTCTCCGTTCGGACGTTCGTCCGCCCATCGTCGTACGAATCGCCACTCTGACAAAAAGCCTGACAAAAGCCGGACAGGCCAAACACGTACATATTTGGCCGGACGCGACCGCAAAAAGCCAAACATGTCCGGCTAAAGCCGGACACCTGGCAAGCCTATGCGCGAGGCCCCTGTAGGAGCGAGGCCCCGGGCGATTGCCCTGTTCGCCACCCCCTAAGACCGCCACTGAGCACTACTGGTGGCATTTAAATGAAATTGTCACTCTACTACGGCGCGGCGGCGCTACTCGTGAATAAATAGTAGAATGAGGATTACAAAGTACGTAATATCTCGCCACTAAAGGGAACGTTATAATTTACAATAACTAGGAAAGGGTAATGATACACAGAAGGCATATTTGCAACTTCCTCTATAAATAAAAGTCATATTTATATATTCCTATAGGTAGTTCCGATTTCGGCCACGCGCGACTAGACCTTGTTCACACTGTATGTGATAAATTGATGTTGGGTGTGTGTGACACAATAAGGCTGCAGCGTCAGACTTGGCGGTACAGTGGCGGTGAAAGTATGGTTGAATAACAAGACCAGTCACCTTCCCAGCAATGATCCGTTCAATATTGCACTTTCTGGAAAACACCGTTTTTTTTAATAATCATAAGTATGTAGGTATGGCTGTTTGATATTTGTTGGACACTATCGTTATTGAAAATTAATTTCAACAATTTTCACCCCTACATTTCATTCACAGTTATCGTAATCATACTATTACCGATTCTATTACCTATGTAAATTGGCGATGTGCGCTTGAGATGAGCAATTTCGGAAGTGACATCAAAAATTGTCGAATTAGGATACGAATCATTGCCACACACTCCTGACTAATTGTTGTGTGAATGTTTAAAGAGTGTTTCTTCAAGTTATCATGAATGTAATAATTATGGGTGATCAAAGTGATGGATGAGTACAAACCACTGCGTCACTAGATACGATTAATAATAAGGGCATGGACCAACGATAAGGGGGCAAACTTTACAACTGTTAAAACTGGACCTAAGCTACCCACGCAATAAAATATTCACTATCAACTAAATAAATTTTCTTAGAAGGTTGATAATTATATAAAGAATAATTATCAACCATAAATAAAAGAATAAAGAAAAGAATGTCATTGTATATAATACAAGCCTGAGAACAAAAACTATAGTCTATACCGATTAGAAGCGAGGGTGGGCCACTAGTGATGAATATGTTTACAAATCTATAAAAATCAAGGTACTTGCCCAACTAAGTTTTCTAAAATTGATAATGTTAAATGTCAGATCAATACAAATAAAACAATAAGTTCTTACACGAAAATAACACACTGACCTCTTCATGGTTACAAAATGTAAATTGATTGCACAATTAAATATTGTTATTGATTCTTCTGTTGTATAATATGACATGTGCTGATAGCTAATCTATTACTAAATCTTGTAAGTGCACCTAATTATACTGTAGTGTAATTATTTTATAAAATAACACCCCACATTACAAAAGGCAAGTGACTGCCATGTCCTTTTGTGGTACTAACATAGGGAGACAAGTAAATTGCACTGGATTTATGACCCTTTTAACTTTGACACAAGTATACTAAACGGTTAATGGGAAAAGATGGATAGGTATAAATATAATTATAAATATCATTAAATATTTTGACTGCCGCACAGTCCACTGCATGCAGCTCGTGGTTCACTCACAACATAAGTACGAAAATAAATAGCGCATGTCTTTCTTCTGCGATAATTTTCTCGTATTTTTGCACCACAAAAACAATTTATATTAAGGAAAGTAATAATATCACTAAAACTTTGAAAAATTGCGAGGTGCAACTCAATAACATTTCAGTAAAATATAAATAGTAAAAATGATAACTTTTACCTTTTAAAATTATAAAATGTAAAACCATTATTTTGTATTTCTTATCTTTTCAGGTATTATATCAAGTGGAAGAAAATAATCTATAGATCGGGAGAAAAAAACAATCTAGAGTTATAATAATTGACTTGGTGATCAGTGTAAACCTGTAGTGTTAAACACACAAGTTTAAATGTGAAAGACTTAGTGAGTGAAATATTTGAGTGCGGGCGGACAAGATGCGCGTGCGTTGGTGGCGTGTGGTGTTGGTGTGCACATGCGCGCTAATTTTGCGCAGTGACGCACTGCCACCAGCCACTCTGGGGGATGTCGTTGCTAATGCTGCTACGAGCCTCAACTCCATGAAGGTAATAAATCTCTTCTATGCAAGGCGCAGTAAACTATACCATTCACGCCTGAAATTAAGTGTGAGTGGAGTTCCCTGTTCTAAATGCAGACAGCTGATGTAAAAGAAAAACGTGCCACTCCAGCTTACCTGGCTTTTCAGGCCTGAACCCAACTTCTTACCGCTTAGAGGTCCTAGCAACCTCACACCCCGACACAAACACGTGCGTGCGCGCTCGTAAGATTGCGCAGCGGTGGAAAAATGTTTCGCTCGCTCCAGTGACCTCGCTATGCCGGCTTGGAAGAAGGAATTCATCGATCATTCTTGGATTAAGCCCTTAAATCTTCACACACTGATGAAAGAAACACAACACCAAATTTTTATTAAAGAGTTTTTTTATTTAGGACTTTACGACATAGGTCTTCTGATCTAATCGTAAATGTTTCTCATGGAAAGGATTACCTTAATTAAAAAACTAAGGCTTTTGGAAGTTTCATTTTTAAGGCTTCTGCAAGTGACTAAAGAAAGGAGATAGACTCTAAATTGAAACTAACGAGCCTTCAAAGATCAAACATAAAGGTATCGCATCCCAGAATCTGTATAACTCAAACTGTGTCAATCAATCAATGCATGTAATAGCTATAGACTAGACTTGCAACGAATATTCGGTTACTATTCGGTATTCGGCCTATTCGGCTGCTTTTATTATATTCGGCCGAATACCGAATATCTACATATTATTCGGCCGAATACCGAATACTTAAATAATATATTTTGTCATAAAGAAATAATTGATAAAATGAAAAATTTAAATCGATTGATTATATATTACATTTAAGTGGTCATTGATACATTACACAGGTACACAATCATCTTCTGAATTGGAAAAATGGAGGATTCTATGTATTTGAATTATTGTGGTAATCAAAATTTAGAAGGGTAAGGTTCTCATTTCTTTTATAATGATTTATTAAGTAGTCATTGGTACATAAAACAGGACCGTAATTTAATCATTTTCTGTATTAAACAAGTTAACAGTTTTCAATTCATTCAGTCATGTGATGAATGGTTACATAATAAGAATAATTTAAAGTTTACGCGCCGTTTTTGGTCATATCTCAAAAGTTGGTATTGTCATTTAGCCGTATTTTAGCTTGCGGACGGCAGATTAGAACAAAACAAAGGAGCGTGAAACAATCACGTCTGTACAAGTTTTTGGCGCTAAAATCCAGCCGAATACTTTTGCCTAATATTCGGCTATTCGGTCAGTGGCCTCGCCGAATATTGGGTATTCGGTATACTGCCGAATATACTATTCGTTGCAAGTCTACTATAGACTAAAGGTATGTGACCTATTAATGGAGTACTTCTTTCTTTTTCTAAGCGACTGATAGCTTTTAAGTACCACAAAGGAGCTTATTCTATCAAGAGTAAATTATAATCATCCTTAGAATTACCGACGTGTATTTAAATTGTTGAATTTCCATAATTCAATTTCAATTTACATAATCTTCCTCTACGTCATTAATCGTTTAAATACAATTCAGTAATTATTTTTTTTCATTTAATTTTTGCATCAGAGACATACAGACAAGTCTCATGAGTAAGTGCGCGAGCACACGATGCGTTGCGGCGCCGCACCGCAAAGGTTTCGCCGCATCGGTGGGCACACGAGCGGTGCGGCGCCGTACGTCGCAGCGGCGCCGTGGGCAACCCAGCAGCATACATTCTCTATGACGCATAAACAACTGAGCGGTGCCACTCCGACGTCGCAACGCATTCACCCCTCCCCGCCTCGTCTTGGTGGTTGCAAGTCCGGTGCGGCGCCGGAGCGCATCGTGTGACATGCCACAGATATTTCTATGTACGTACGAGTAAGACGCCCGCAGCGACACCGCTCCGACGCCGCACCGACACCCGCCGCAACGCATCGTGTGCTCCCGCTCTAAGAAAAGGCTTTGTTATTATTTAGTTACTCATAGTTTAGTGAACACACGTAACATATTTACATATACATACGAAAGTTTTAATGACCCTTTCCCCCAAAAACGAGGAATAATGCATTCTGTGCTGTTCTGCGTTGTGCTGCCGGTGCTCACGTTTGATTACACCATTGAGTGCGGTACCAAGGTCCCCAGTCTCGACATAAATAACGATTACAACGACAGATTTCATCGTGGCAAAAAAAACTTCAATAATTGGTAGTCTACAATGAACTTTACAGTTAGTCGTATCTAGGCTAGGGTCCGTATTATTATTTTAAGTACAATCTTGAGATGCTGTTTTGCATGAAAGCCTAATATTGTTGCTGAGGAGCTCGATGGCGCAAGTGGTTAGCGCGTTCGGCTGCGATCGTTGAAGTTAAGCAACTTTCGCAGTGGTTGGTCATTGGATGGGTGGCCAAAAATTTACTATCTCGAGCTTCTCTGTGCTTCGGAAGGCACGTTAAGCCGTTGGTCCCGGCTGCATCTGCAGTCGTTAGCAACCACCAATCCGCACTGGGCCCGCGTGGTGGGTCATGGCCCGAACTCCCTATTCCATCCATAGAGAAGGCCTTTGCCCCAGTAGTGGGGACATTAATAGGCTGATGATGATGATTGTTTCTGAAAGGTTTTCGCCTAGGTTTTTAATCCTAGGTCTTACAAAAATTAAGGTTATCCATTTGACAAGTACCTACAATGAACATACTCACTTGTAGTTTACTCCACGCAGTTATTCGTTTTGCACTGTTTGTAAACCTAACGGTAGTTTATCCTTATGATGCATTAGGGTATGAAAAGCAGAGCTTGCTGCCAAATTCACTAATGGCAAATGTGAAAAGCAACGTGAAGTGCCAGCAAAATAACATTTGCATGTATTATGAATGGCTGTTTCTCAAAACATTTTTATCTAGGTTGTTCTGTTTTTCATTAGACTTCGCTTCAGATTTCAGAAACGTCGAATTTATTGAATGAAACCTGTGAATATATTTCATACATAGTTATTTTGCTATATTTAATGTCACATACACAATACATACGTAGTACCTTAATGTTTTTTTCTCTAGTATTTTAACTTTATTCAATTTTAACTATAGATGAAAGAACGCGGCCTAATTCGCATTCAACTTTTATCGCAAATAGCATCAACTTTAGACAAAGTTGAAAGTTCCTTGTCTGCGTAATTTTTTAATAATCGAGTTTAATCCCCGTTTTTATCAAATCACTTGCCCGCAAAAAAGGGTCACCTTGAAAACAGAAATATCATATATGGATTTTTGAATTATATAAATGGTAATTATTAATCAAAATATGGTTTATTTTATGAGTAATTCAATTGTCTTTCATTCAAAGAGCTAGCTTAGGAAGTTTGATAGTTGTTTGGAGTTAAGTAGGTGACCCTTTCATTTTGCTGGGGATTTAATACATTGATTCTTGTTTTATTACAGAGATTAAGTAGTTTTGAAGAAAAATGGATCGCATGATACCTATGATGATATAGTTATAGATACTAGAGATGGGTCGGATTAGGTAAAATCGATACCTATTCCACCTAATCCTAATATTTAAAAATGCCTAATCCAAATACCTATTCCGAATATTTATGCTTAGACAATACGATATTGTATGGTAAATAAAATATAAATATTGTATTTTATTATATGATCTCATAAAACACACAGCGTTTGGATAAAGAAGCTGTTTTGTGATTCTGGTTATCGGTGTGGAGTATTTATAGATATAGCTTCATGTACAACTTTCTCTTCTTACTCACCAGCGGCGCCACTATCCTTGGCGAGGCGCTGTCAGTTTTTCAAATAGCGTTTTGTGATTTTTTATGTGTGTGTGGAAAAAATTATAAAAGAAACGAGCCAGCCTTACAGTAGCCGCGTATGATGTGTAACATTTGAAACCTCACCTTATATTAGTAAAAAAAGAAACAAAACCTACTACAAAAGGAATAAGAAATTTGAACATTATGTTCTAAAATCAAATCAAATAGGGCGCGCTTTCGCGACTTCCTGTTACACACTTCCGTCCCATTTCACGAAATCACTCCCACAAATTGCAGGAAAGCGAGAGGAAAGATGTTACACATCAAAAAAGTAAATTCGTAGTGTTTTCGTGCCGTGAATTGTTTGAAAACATAGTTCTCCTTAGTTTTTGCATAAATGACCGGTAAAATAAGTGTTAATTAGTGCAAACACACCAAACCAAAGATTTGAAAATCTTTGCATCAGGCGCGGTAAGTCTTTGGCATTGCACACATTGAAGGAGACATTGAAGGAGGAGAAGGAGAAGGAGGGCCTTTACCTCGTCTGCGAAAGACTAGGACGGTTTCGCTGGCCTGCTTTGTAATAAACGTTCACGGAGAGCGTTTAAACAGTGTATTGCTCTAATCAGCCAGATGTGCTGTATCCAATTCATCTTAGACGCAAACCATTAACAATTATACTATTATGTACAACCAAAATTTTTTAAAGACAAAATTCATATTAAATTCATTTGATACAAATTAGTATTCATGTTCCCTGACTTTGTTAAACTTTAGATGAATGAGAAACCTTGCCATTCTAATGCGTTTTGTCGTGCTGAGCACTTTGATCTGAAATATCTCCTCTTTGGTTAAGAATTCCAAATTCAAATTTATAAATTCATTTAGCTGGTTCATTCGAGTTTTGAAAACAGCCATTCATTTGTTTTTTACCTCACATTTTTTCTTTAGCATCGCTTATTACCGCACAATGGAAAACATGAAATATCGGTATATTTACGAGTACCAGTTCTACCATGGCACCAGTGCTGCAGAAACAGCTCGAAGGATTAATGATGGTTACGTGGAGGCTAATAAGCGAGACGTAATCTGCTTTATGCATGAGAATGAAAGAAACTACTTTAGTGCGCTCTATTGGCAGCTGTTGCCAAGGGAAGTTGGGGTGGAGACTACTCCATTAAAAAAAATGCAATAATGTTAGCGTATAACCTGTCTGTAATACGCCATCGCATGATACCTATATTTTAACATATTAAATAAAACTCATCT